AGACCTCACATCTCTCTGACAGGAAACAGACACTGCTGTTAGGGCCGCACATGCATCTGTCCACAGAGACAATGTGTAATGTTAAAGCAACAGGTCAAACACAACATCTGAAACAAGCTAATAAAAAGAAATGAAGTAAGTTTCTAAACTGTTGTATCACCAAGAGCTAGTTAAGCTTTCAGAAATGTCTGAAGTCCAAGAACCCAAAAAACAAGACCCAGGGTATGACATATCCATAGGGGTACATTATTTAGCAGCCATCACCACTGAAGCAACATTAAAGAGCTTAAAATTCAGTTTGACATCCTACTGTTACTGCACAATGTGATCAATAATAAAATCTATAGTACATCTGATAAACGATTACCTTCCTACTGTGCCTTGCAGTGTGACAATAAACAAACAAACAAACCCACACTAAAAACGGCAGAAGGAGAGTAAAAATTAACAAACTAAAGATGAGGAGGAACAGGTTCAGACGATCCTTAAAAGAAGCCCTGGGGTAAACAGACAGGATGAGACAAGTTGTGAAATCTGTAAGGCAAAGGCTGTAAGGAAGAGGCAATAACAGCAACACCAACGTCAGTGTCCACGGTGAGCAGAATCACACTAATCCTTATCCACAAGATAAGGAGAGACAATCAGAATGAGTATTTTAAGAACTCAGACTACTGTTTTCATGAAAAACAATGCAACCGCATCCATCCCGTCTCACTTGAAGCTTATTATTTTATACATGAATCTTAAAACTAAGATGGAGACCAAGTCAAACACAGGGTAAAATGAAAAAATCCTGAAGCACACAGCTGAAGGACACTGCAGTCTTGGTGCAGTGACTACTATCAGAACATGCTCAGAGAAAAGACTTTTCAATGAAGCCATACACAAGCAGATGAACTGCTACCAGCAGAATTCCCAAATTCACCTTTTTTAATTAAATTTGTGCTCATTTATCAGGTGGAAAATTAGGCCTGATGAATACTAATTGCTACTAATTCGAACTTTCTCATAAAAGACTTGCATTTATTTGTTGCAGTAGCTGAGATGATAAAACCAGAATCTTTGCTGGCACAATTGAACCAATTTCAACAGAATTATACCATCAGAAAATTTGACACACTGTATCTTTTCCCCATAGAATACACAGAATAAATAATTTATTCAACAATAAATTGGATTTTGTTGTTAGTCACCCCATTCCTTTAATTGGTTAGTATTTTGTCTCTTTGGAAACAGCAGTCAGTGTGATAGCTTTTCCCCTCAAGATCCATTAACATAATTATTTATTATTTCTGTATGTTTTCCTAAAAGAACATAACAGAGACAAACCGTGTTTTGTCCCAAGGATTTCAAATTAGCCTAAGGATCCCTACAGACTGGACCATCTTTGTGTTCACAGGCAGTCCCCGTACTATTCTTACTGGTGTTTCGCAATTTCCATGTTCTACAGTTGTGTGAAATAAGCATCAAATGTAACTAAAATTAAATATATTCAAATATCCATCTAGCAATAAAAAGGAATTTTGAAAAGGGATTAAAAATTCCCGTGTAATTTCTGCAAGAATACATATCATCCAGCTCTGCAAGTGAAATTAATCAGCATGTTAATATGTAACAGAAAGAATTCACACAGGGGAAGTACAAATGTCACCTGATTGCTCCAACCCTCTCTCCCAACTCTGCTCACAGGGAACTAGAAGATACTCCAGCTGAGACACTGTAGGTGGGCTGCCAGCAGTCTCATCAGTATTGCCAGCTCTGCTACCACAAATGAAGCTGTGCCAACAAAAGTGAAACCAGGAAATCTGATGGCTATGGGAATCAGCAACTTAACTTTCTGTGACCACTGCAAGACATACCCCAAGCACCCTTCTAGATAAGAATGATAATGCAAAAATAGTTTCATATCTGGGCATATTCATTTCCCTTTCAGGTTTCATATTCCTTTATTGAGTTTTCTGTAACAGAAAGCTGCTAAACGTCAATGAGACATGCAGGCAAGCATTCATATTAATAATTAAAAGGGTGTGTGTGAGTTTTCTTCCTGACCTGCTCTTCATCTTATCTGTCCTTTTGTACTTTCTTCTCTCTACTTACCTTGCCTCAGGCTTTATTTTGTCATGTACAAAAGAATCCCTGTGAGCATCAAAAATCATTCTATGGCATCCCACCCAAGAGACACAAAGTCTGGCAAAGCATAAAGAGGGAACTATCAGGGCAGACCACCTCCTGCACTTTTTTAAATTAGCAAATCAATGTACTCAAGATTGCTTTGATCACATTTGCTAATTTTAAATCTTAACTTCATCAGTGTGCTAGAAGATAGAAAATGTTTACATCTTTGCTAGACAGGTAGATAAAGAGTGATATCAAGAGACCATATAAGCTGAGTTCCCTCTTCTGGGAAGGCTCTGATGCGTGTGTGATTCAAAAGTCCTTTCATTGTTTCAAGAGTTTCACAGTACTGGTTTTCTTCCTGGGCATAAATGTTCCTGCAAATCTTGTCTGATTGCTGACAATGGGAGTAGAATGAATAAATTCAATCATTTTTAAATACTGGTTTATCTGCAAGTACACCCAGAACATAAAAGCTGTTCTCCGCTATGATTCACAAGAGCCTTCTGCCATTCCTTTTGGTATCAGCACTCATAGAATCAGTGGTCATTTGTTTCACAATATCACTTCCTTCTGTAATTTACATCTGCTTTTCCCTATTTAAAGTAGTTTGATTTATTTCTGCTTATGGAAATTTAGCTACTTTTCTACAGTTTTATCTCAGAATTTCTGATGGCTTCCAAAGAGAGAAAAGGAACCTTAAAGGTTATGGACTTTGGTTAGAAAGGTAAAGAACTCTGGTTCTTGGGCAAATATTGGCAAGTAAATTACAAGGACACAAATATTCATGACAAAACAGGTGAAAATAAAAGGGCCTTTCCTTTGAGTATGAACCTTTCAATCTATTTCTGCAGCCTAATTAGGTCCTCTATGATACAAGAAATGTTTTCAGCTGTTTAGGTTTTAAGTCTCAGTTTTTTTAAAACTAAGCTATAACCCAAAATGACAATATAATTCCCTATTATGAGGAAAAAAATAAAATAAAATCAAAAATGTGCATGTGTGTGTGAGTGATGGAAAGAAAGAGACTGGGGGAGAGAGAGAGCTTAGCAAAACCTATGCATTTTTAAGTAGCTCATTTGTACACTGGCTTTATTAAATCTCTCTATCACTATCTTAATTATCCTTGTACACTTCATATCTTCAAACTGAAATAATAAAACTACCCAGCAGAACATAAGTAGAATAAAACATTACAACTGGTCAAATGTTCAAATCAACATAAGAATGAAATCAAATTCAGTCCATTAGATGCTCAAGACAAACTCATTAGAGCAGTTATCCATTTCACTAGTGGAAGAGTCAGCATGTTACTGCAAAATTCATCGTAACATTTGTAAGATCATATGAATTTAAAAGAAAAATTAAAAGCAAAATAGGGGCTATGAGGAAAAGTTGTGTATGTCTGCTGTGCTCAAGATCCCAGAATGCTCAATCATTCCCATAGCTAAAGACAAACAAGATTAACAAAAGAAAAAAAAAAAAAAAAATACAAAGTCAAATTTTTAGACTGAATTTCACAAGAAACTTTGATATTGCAAAATAATGGAATACACTCTGAAAACAGGTCACTGGAAATTAAAAACACACTATACATATGTACTTATTGGGCTACAGGAAAGCGCAGAGCAGGTTACTATTTACTCAGTTCTGCCTGCATGCAGTGATGTGAAACAGGATCTTGTGGGTTCCTTTCTGTCCTTTTCTGACTATAGAATCAGCCAGACTGTGAAGTTTCTACTCCTGCCAAACTCCTATGGTAACGAAATGACAGTCAGTCAGAAGCCATTCTGAAGAAGAGACTTTTCCAACAACTTCAAAAACCAAGCAACCACCAAGTAGTCTTGATAACAGCACATCTTGGTCAATAATCACCACACTGTGCTCACATCAGGCTTGGAATAAATGTCTTCATAAGCATAGTGAGGGGCAAGGGAACAGTAAAAATTAGTTAAAAAAAAAAGTTCAGGTTTATTAGAGAATAACCTAGTGATACTGATCTGGGTCACACTGAAGGTCCATTTGGTCTAGTAACCTTTCTTTTTGGCAAAGAACGGGAGCTTAAAAGTGTGGTACTTCTGGTTATATTCTTCCAGCTTCTAGCAATGTGTAGTTTAAAAATGTTCTATCAGAGGCTGGACATGGACCACCTTGCTTCATAGCTTCTAATGG